GGGTCACACCACCATACTTCACGATCCCAAATGTCGATTGGACTACCCACTTGCTCTAATCAGGCTCCACCATGCAGATTTTCAGCCTCGATTACTCCTCTAGGAACTCTTCCTATAAATACAAGGCTCAAGCTACATTCAAAGGGTTCAAACACCAAACCAAAGCCTCCCATGGAGCAACTTATTTTTTCCTGTAATGCACTTTCAATATCTTTACTTGCTTTCCTAGGAGTAGTGTTAGACTGTAAGGAAAATTCATTCATCAATATATCATACGACCCTTGATTTTCAAGGCGCCGGAGCACCATCCCTGTTGTTCGTTCACTCACCCCATATATCATACAACCGTCGCTCCCTGAGCAACGCGCCGGAGCACCGCCTAAAACCCACCACCAACACCATCACTCAACGGCCTTGTAGTTCAGGCCGTGAACCTAATAGCCGAGACTAGTTCCTCTCACAGCTACAATCGTTTGATTAGAGGACGAGTTCAAACAGGCGCACCACTTATCCATCCTACACTCATCAACATCTTGACGCACGGTAGACCATGCTGGCACGCCCGCGCACAACCGCACCGCACCCAAAAGCAGGAAGCCGCGTGTCAACGCATATCCCCTCGGCCCGGAACTCCAGGCCGTGAGATTTGCGCGGCAGACAGCCTCAACACTCTTTTCCTTTTGAATTGATTGTAATCTTTGACTCATAACTTCACTGCAAACCTCCAAATAGGATTCCATTTTATCCCATTTCTTTGGATGACACTCGGGTGGGGCAGCAGTTACACACTTTCTTTTTCCTTTACCATGATCAATTTCCAGGTTAACACTATCATCATCCAAGTCAACATCAATGTGAACACTAGTGTTAAGGAAATTGCTCTCTAACTCACGCTCCTCATCTCAGTTAGGAGGAAGTTGATTAGAGGCATAACGCAACTGATCGGTTGCAGTAGTGGTGTTGAATATCTCCCCTAAAAGCTGATAGTGCACTAAACCTTGAGTGTGATATTGCTTCGCTCTTGGTTTACTCTACAAACCATGACAAATATTATACTCAAACATCATAAGCAATTCACTTAAGTATGAAGTGAAGTGAAAAAAAAAACTTAAACAAAGGCTTGGTATACCTTAATGTAACTAGCCCAAACATCCTCTGAGGCAGTGACTGTGTTAGCAATAGGATCCCACCCAAATCTAGTATGCTCAATTAGATCCGAGAACTCACGATGTGCAATTCGCAACTATTAAACTTAGACTTAAGTTGCTTAACAGTGCATTTTTTTCCACATTTTGCTAACAACTCCTCGCTTATTTCGGACCAAACTTTCGTTTTAGAGGTTGATGCTTGCAAGTCACCCTTCTTCACATGATCATGCAATATATGTATAAAAAACTCCTCATGTTTGGAAGACCATTGTACTTTTTCCTCACCATCAACATTCTTAGGGGCCATATCCTTGTAAAGAAAAAAAAATTAAGACAATCCAATAATTTATTGCATTTCAGAACATCGCACATATCATCACCACATATATGAATCACATATTTACGAATAAGAAAACATATCCTTTAAATAAATAAAAAAAGACAAACTCAATATGAAAACATATCTTTTCCCTGTTCTAGTGGTACATATTTCGTATTAAAAAATCTGAACATTTTGGTGTCACCATTCCTTAAAAAATCAAAACCCAATTCGAAATTATGAAAATCATTATCAAAGATCCCAAAATTAAGCACAAAAAAAAAAACCCATTTGAGAAAATTACAAAGCTGAATTGCCCAAATGAATAATGAAGCACCAAAGAGAAGAAAACAGAGGAATTACCTTAGCCAATGTGAGGTCTGTGTCGTTGTTTTCCTGATTATGCTATCGCTTCAGCTTCTTCCAAAAGTAAACTGAATAACAGACCGCCATATACAAAACCCAACTCAAAACTATGAAAATCATTATCAAAGATCCCAAAATTAAGCACACTGAATAACAGACCACCATATAAAATTATGAAAATTATTATTAAAAATCCCAAAACTAAACCCTAAATTATGAAAATTATTATCAAAGATTAGAAAATTAAGCACAACAAACACTACAAGAAAACAGGCCTTAGTTGACACTTCATAGTTGACATTTCTTGAAAAACCATAAACTATTCTACGAAATTTTGACGTTTTTAAAAAAACGTCAACTATATAACTGTTTTCTTTATATTTTATAAAAAACGTCAGCTAATGAAATATAACCCTGACATTTTTTTCATAAACGTCAACTAAAGAAACAATTTCGTGACATTTATTAGAAAGCGTCAGCTACTCTTCCAAAAAAAGGGACAATAGTCATCCATTTGTTTTTTATTTTTAAAAGAAAACCTAAAAGCTATTTCACTTTCCCTTTGCCCCTCTCTCTGCCTTGCGCCTCCCAGCCTTCTCTTTTTTTTTATTTTCTTTTTTTTTTTATCTCTGCCCTTTCCTTTCAATCGTTCTTGACTTCTCTCTCCAAAGCGTTCAGTTCCTTGGCTCGCTAGAATCTCGACGGCGTTACCTCCGACGACCTTGATGATGCCATTCACGATTAGGTTTTCATCTTTATACAATCTCCTACCTTTTTCGTTTTATTTATGTATTAATGTTTCTAGATCTCATGGTTTCTTTTGGTGCAGGTACTAGAAGGTGACGGATCTACGATTTTCTCTTTCTCAAGATCGCTATATCGCTCAACTCATCTATGTGCTCTCAATTTCTCGCTCAATTCATCTCTGCTCTCACGCTTTCCCTTAGTCATCTCTCTGCTCTTACTCTCTCATATGACAACGCAAACCTTTGAAACCACAAACCCACCGAAGTCCAAACTCTCCCCCCTTTACAACATTTGGTCTCAAATCAGTCCAAATTATCAATTTTTTATGTTGCTATGTTTGGGTTTCAGGCATAGTAAGCAAATTGTTTTCTCCGACTCCTAATTCTCCTTCAGGTAAAACCTAAAACACATTTATTTTATCTTATTGATATGCATAGATTTTTTGGTTTATGTTGTTGTCCTAAATTCACTTCTCAAAACCCACGCCTTGAATTTATTGAGGAAATTTTAGTAAAATACTGTGATGTCTTTTGTGTTTGGTATCACTGATTAAAAGTAGTTGCTTGCTTACTTCGTTGTAACTTTCTAGCTGTGTTTTCGTTGGTTGTGATAAGAGTTCATTTATAGTTCGATTTTCTGATATTTCATATATGTGCTTAATTGTTGTGAGCTTAGAATTTGTGTCATCTTAAGTTGCATAATTTTATACCACTGATTTAATCCCAGCTCCTTGCTTGTTTGTGTGTTCTGTCTTGTGTTGTGTATGGTCAAGCCAACTTACATAAAATGTTAGAGCACGCTTTGACATATATACTACTTTAATTATGCCACACAAGTTCTGATTTAGACACATGGATATTAGTCATGTTCTCTATTATTAAAGGTTTGAGTTTTCTGATTCATATTTGGAGTTTGAAGTTTCAATCTTAGGCTGTGATTTTTGCAGATTTTTGTTTTTTCAATTTCTATTTGGAGAGCATATGCAGATAAGGTGAGCATATTTCATATTACTTTTGGACTAGTTGCTCATTCATTGGTTTCTAATTGATATTGAGTTTTTTTTTTTTTTATATGTATATATTGAGTGTAGGTTTCAATCTTGGTCCATAATTTGTGCAGATTTTCAGTTTGATTATATTTAGATGCACTTACAATCAAGGATTTTAGATTAGTTTTTGACTAGTTATTGATGTGATTTAATTTCCGGTTTGGCTACTAGGCTCTAATCATCAATTTTAAGTTATTCTTTGCTTTCCTCTTATTTCTATGATTTTTTTTTGTTTGTGCTAACAAAGAGAGAGAAACAGAGAAAATGATAGCTAAGATTTTAAGAAATTGGTTTCAATCTCTTTGACTAAATTATTACAAGTAGCCATAGAATTTATACTCGGAGTGTGAGATTAACTAACTAAGCATGTGCTAATGCTTACTAACTATGACTTGTAAGAGTTTGAGCTCTACTAAGCTATGTTATTAGTTTGCAGTGGGTTGTGTTTGTATAATTTTTTTTTCCTTAAATATTGGTTTGGAGTGTTTTGTTTAGATGTAGGTGCATATTGGTCTAGAATTTCTTATTCGAATTGTTTTCCCTATTATCCTACATGCATATTCGTTTTTATGGTCATCATATGCTGTTTCAGGATTGTTTATAAAACAAAGACCAGAGAGTATTGTGATATATAAAGATGTGGATGGTGGTACAACAAATAATACGGTATTTGATCTAGAACTACTTGTTCAAATTGTCTTCCTTCTTATCATATACGCATATTGGTCAGCTGACTTATGTTTTAGTCAATTGAATTTGTCTTTATCCAAGATAATTCCCAATTTGTTAGTTTCTTTAGTTTCCTTTTAGTCTCTACTATTTTTGGCTGACCTTGTGCTTTATTTTTTTTGGTGTACATCAAGTGCAAGGCAAATAAAAGCAACTAACTGAGAATTGGATGTTCACTTGGCATTGTACAGCAGAAAGAGTGGTGAGCACCCCATTATTCCTTATTTTGTATTTTATTTACAAAAGAAATTTTACTGAAATGGTTGTTTTGGTTAATTTAATCATAGGGCAACTGAAATCAGCAGCCCCATTTGAACTTGTGCAACCATATATGAAGAGGTAGCATCCCCATTCGAACTTCTGCAGCCACATATGAAGAGGAGGAAGACACAATTTTCATGTGATATATGTTGATCAAGGTAATATGGGTTCTCTTCTTCTTTCTTATTGCGTACAGCATGTCTGAGGCAAATGACAACTAATTGAAAATAGGTTGTTTATCAAATTCATTTAGGTTTGCAATGTAGAACAAGCATGCACTTTTAGCCACTTTGAAAGTCATCCAAACAATTTCATTGTATGAGATGATTCGATTACTAGCTAGTTATCAATTGTTGTAGGTCTTGATAACTCTTTGATCCATAAATTCATATTTTCTTAGATTGGTATGATTTGGGTGACTCCAACCGTGAAGGAAGTGTTAGGCTGGAAATGGGCATTACTTGGGAGCTGCTATGAGGAAAGTAAAGCTTCTAAGGGAAAATTCCTTATAATTGAGACTTAATTACTAGATACCTTGTTTCTTTTTAGTATGTTTAATTTTAAATTTAATTCATATTGTAATTGTAATAATATTTATAGACAACTTGAATGTTGTAACATTCATTTTATATTATTATAGTGAATGTACAATTTCCAGTCTTTTTCGGGAAGAAGCTTATTTAATTTTTTTTAAAAAAATATTAGTCTTTGTTTCTTGACGGCTAAAATCCGTCAAGAAAAGAGCTCTTAAATGTCAACAAATAGGTAAGTTGACACTTAAAAAGTGTCAAGGCTGACCATAAGTTGACGGTTTTTTCTATTATGTGACGGTTATTATCCGTCAGGGAAAACGTTTTCTTGATGGACAAAAAGCATCAAGTATGTGGGTACCCTTTTCCTGACACTGGTATTCTTGATGCTTTTTTAGCCGTCAATGAAATACATTCTTGACACTTTTTAACCGTCACTAAAGGCAGTTTTTCTTGTAGTGAAAGAACTCAATTGAGAAAATTTAGCACAACAAAAAACCCTAGATCTAAAGGCACAAAATACCCACAGCTAGAGAAAGAGGAAAAAGTGAGAAAATTACCAAGATCTTCCAAGAGCAGCAATCTTCATGTGGTCTGTGGCGATGGAGCAATTGGAGAGAACAAAAAGCCTTAGTGGTGAAGAGAGGAAGAGAGACTATCGCCAAAGAGAGGAGTGAGACAAGCCAAAGAGAAGAGTGGTCAAGAAAGGGGGAGAGAAGAGAAGGGTGAGTAAGGAGGAGAGAAGAATTTTGGTTTTTAGTCTGATAGGGAGAGAAGATTGAGCGAGAGATTGAGCAGAAGTAGTGTGTTTTGAGCGTTTGTTTTCTGGGACAACAAAAACATCTTTCTTTTTTTTTTGTAGAAGTAAACGTGCAGTTGGTCTCATTTTATGAAAGCATTTTCAATGTTTTCTATTTTTGCCTACCGAACACGTTTTTGCTTTGTTTTTATTCTTTGAAAATGAAAATGGGCCTTTAAAACATAAACAAACGGGGTCTTACATTTTGGACATTTTCAGGAAAAACCCATGTCCCATGAGGTGGTACAGGATAAATGAATTCAACATATGTAGCTGCCCATGTAGCTTGAGTGTACAAGGAAGAGGCGAAGGAGTATGTATGGGTTCAATTTCAAGTGCTGACATATCGTAATAGCATGTTTGCATGGAAGTTGCTCTAAGTCAAACTTCCTACATGTACAATTGTGGTTTTGCAAGTGCACGAGACCATTCATATCACCATCAAGCATATTATACTCCACATAATTGATTTTGACCACATTCATCCTCGAAGCAGCGTCTATCCTCTTCCTTAACTTCTTTTCACCTAAATCAGGGCACAATATAGATTTACATTTCATTGACAAATCTCAACGTTGACTAAATCAATTCTGAAGCACATTCTTAATTTCCTCAATCAAGTGTACCACTGGAAGCATCCTTGAAAAATGATGAACTGAATTAATGGACTCTGTAATATTAGTTGTCATGAAATTATATCGTCATCCGTTACAATGGGCTCGAGACCACTTATGGAGCTGTGCACGTACTAGATCACACTTGCTCATTGTTTATCATGGAGAATGGGCGAATGAACTTTGCTAGATGGTAAGACTTGGTTCTCCGCACAAAAAAGCCCTAATATTGGATCCCGTTTCTTCAACTTAAATGAGGTTTTCATATTGCCCTTCAAGTGATAAAAGCAAATACCATGGAGGGCAATTTAGTACTTTCATGTTACAAAGTGAATATTTCTTATTGAAATTTAAAAAGTGAGTATTTTTTATTTATTATCCTTTATGTTCAGTGAGTATGTAGGTCAATTTCCAAAGGCCCCATTTAGTTCATAGGAAAGGAGGGTTGAGGATGAGAAATCAATTGTTTTCCCATGTTTGGTAAGTCTAAGCATGGGAAATGGTTGCGTGGCACATGGAAAAGTAAGGGGAAAGTGAAGCCCCCTCTTCCCCTTGAGTTTTGTTTTCCTCCTCATGGGAAAGTTTGGGAAAATGAGCCAACATTAAATACACATTTTTCATGATCATTTTGTCCAAATTAACAATTTAGAATTACAATATAGTTGTTATCTAACTAAAGGAAATTGTAGAGAGAAATGAGGAGTAGAGGAAGACAATAGAAATTAGTCTATAAAACTTCTCTATCTTCTTCTTTGATAATCACTTATTTATAGGCTTACAATAATAGGAAGCTTACCCACAAATTATGAGTTCAAGGCTACTAATTACAATACCATTAACATAGGTTATAATATATCAAAGGTGGAGGTAATGGATGTAATGGTGGTCATCCACATTTGAAGTATTTATAACACTCCCCCTTGCATGTCCACCATATATAGAGTATGCCTCGTTCAAAATCTTGCCAAGAAAAATCCAACGGGATAAAAACCTGGACGAATGAAAAAGAGTATAGTGTGTGTGAAGATCTTATTGATGGCACGCTCCCCCTGATCTTGACAAAATATCTTTAAACCATATTGTTGACCATCTTTCTGAATGTCGTAGTTGACACTGGTTCTGTAAATTAATCTTGCAATATTATTGGATGCTCCCCCTAAAGAATTACTCCCTTTGATGTTTTTATACTTCTTTGATGATCCAACACAAATGATATTGATCACACATCCGTCCTTTGGTAATGCTTGTATAAAACCTGTTGTTGCAGCATCATTAGAGGATCCATGTGTGTCATCATTCATCTAATCCCTGTTGAGGTTAGAGTTCTACAAAAATATCTAGGCTATTTTCATATGTCTTTTACTGTATATTGACAGGACCTGACCCAAATTTTACTTTGGAATCTGTGTCAAACCTTGTGCGTGTCTGACACCTGGCACGTGGCGAGCACACTTGACGAAATTGTCCTTCTAACGAAATCCAAAGTTTCTTTAGGGTTTGACTTTTGCCGAAAATTCGGCAGAGTCTCCCCTATAAATTGCTCATTTCCCAAACTTTTTCACTTGTACAATAAGCAATTTAAATATCCACAACTGTTCAACATGCACAATAATAGAATTCATGCAACCAAACATCAAATCTTTATGGCCTCAGGCCTCTTTAAGTCAAATAAATCGTTCTGCCAACTGAAACTGATCCCAACTTTTGGAACAACATGAATACGTTAATAGATTTCAAAATAACTTAACTAAACAGCTTTTCAATCACTTGGTCTCATGGCTGCACCTAGTAACTCTAGGTTTCCTACGTACCCTTAACAAGGGATCAAGCCACACGTAGTTCTTTCTCTTTGTTTTATTGACAATTTATATATTCAACTTTTATGTTTACCACCTGTTTTTACAAAATCAAATATGAAAAGAAATTAAAAAGATAAGAAAATAATGAGAGAAAAATAGACAAACACAAGGAGAACAAAACGGGTATATAAAATCAAGTAACGATATGGTAAAATAAAACTTCACTTAAGAAAATAATCGTGAATTATACAAAATCCGTAAAACTTAAAAAACTCTTAATCATTGTCTCTTAAGTAGGAAAACATATATTAAAACCTTCGCCCATAAATACCAAGATAAAATCCTTAATTTTTAGTTTAAAACATCTCAAAACTTAAATACTCTCCACTTAGGCGTACCCCCATTCGTGATCCGTCAATTCCACCAAATTTCCGTCAATTCCAGTAATGTACCATCAATTCCATGAATTTCTATTTATTTCCCACATTATACCGTCAATTTCTTGTGTCTCATAATGTGACACATCCTCTCAGAACTCAGGGGACATGTAGTCAGCCCAAGAACGCATATCCTTGCTCCACACGGTTCATGCGTCCCTGAAACTCGTGGGGCATTGTCATAAAAGACAAACTATTTCAAAGGCAACTGGGGGATACTCTTGTGGTGGGTTTGAAAACCATATTCCAAAACTTATCATAAACTTTCGCATTCTGCTAAGAACTAGTGTCCATGATTCATCATTTTCAAGCCACTGAGTATATATATTAAATCATCCACACCAAAATCCAATTAATAAGCAATTCCCAACTTTACCCATCCAAACATAGTATAATACCCTTAGAAAGTAAAAGCGGTTACCTTATAACTCATAAACATTTGAATAATCGAATATCACCCAATCATATACTTTAATAATACTCATAATAATAATAAATAAATAAATAACAAGATAATCTTCGAATATCATAATAACACCCAAGAATATCATAAAACACTATAACATAAACTCAAAATCCAAATGTAATCAAAATAGTCCACAAACCATCAAACCTCGTTTACACGGTCGTCTAGCACTTCTAACTACCTCGGAAGACCCCTGGTCAAATTTTATAAATTAGGTCAACCGGGCCCACGTGGCCCACGACCTCCGATTTCCAATCGAACAAGGTTTAATAAACATGTCCTGCTAATTTGGTCCGAATCGAATGGTTGGATCGCTCATGATTATACGATCGGACGGTTATCGTTAATCTAAACTTTGAATTATTGAATCGGAGTATCCGTGACTCTGATTCTTGATCCGCGAATTCCTACACGATCCTATAGGTGACTAGTTCAACATATTTGAAAATGAAGTCGATCCAACGGTCTGAACCTATCGAACCTGGATAACGTCTACTATGCGATATCCGATCGACAGTCAAACGGTAACCAAATTGAAATTTGAGCATACCGTTGTGATCGGGACAACCTGAGGATCATTCTAGGACAAAAACCCAACCTTGACACCCTTCCGACGCGTCGCCACACGCCTCCACTGTCGGCAAGTGTTTAGAGCAATTTTCCAACGATCGAAAAACTCCAAACCGCCAGCCAATAATCATACCTACAGATCAAGCACATCAAGGGGAGTAACTTTATAGCTTGGCTCGAAGATCAATTCCATTGTTTAAGCCCTCAAACGAATGATTTTGTCTTTGAAAAGCCTAGAAAGTTTTGTTTCTGGATTTGACAATTTATACTTGAAATTGGGTCGGGTCTTTGAAGGAAAACACATAGGGGAGGTAGGGGAGTGTTTTGGGTGTGATTGAATGGCCTAGGGTGTACAGAGTTGACCGAAAACGAAGTCAA